AAGGAAGAAAAGAAGAAAGGAAAATGAAGGAAGGAAGGAAAGGAGGGAGAGAAGAAGGAAGGAAGGAAGGAAGGAAGGAAGGAAGGAAGGAAGGAAAGAAGGAAGAAAGAAAAAAAAGAACCTGGGTTTGATCTCCAGCACCTACATAGCTGTTTACAGGGATCTGGAACCCCCTATTCTGAGGAATCTACACCCTCTTCTGGCCACCACAGGTACCAGGCATGTCTGTGGATCATAAACATACCTTCAAGCAACTTGCCCGTACTCATAAAATAAAATCTTAAAAACAAATAAAAAACATTAGAATTGTCTCACAGTTGAAGAGCACATAGTCTGGATAGAACACCAATGTAGGTAACATCTGAAGGAAAGGTTAGACAGGGTAGAGAAACGGGGTGAGCTACACCCCTAAGAAATCAGCATTTAAAAGGTTATAACAGAAGGCAAAAGGGAACCAGGGACTTGTTCTATGGGTTTGGCTTTGAAAACCACTTCCACCTTTATGAACCTCCCTCCGCCTGTGGCTTCTTCTAAATATCAGTGCTCGCCAAGTTCCCTTTTGACCTCTTAGGCTATTAGCGCTCCATTTCCTTCAGAAGCCACACAGAGTTCATGGAGGAGGAGGAAGCGTTGGATTTGCAAATTAGGAGGTTGCTATTGGCCTCCAGTTAAACATTTTCAGGGGAGGAGGAGGAGAGGCTAGAGGGAGCAGGAGTGGGAGAGAGGAAGTGCAGAGAGCATAGTCTGTCGTTCTTTGGAGATGTTGTCATGAAACAAGCATATGTGCCCTTCTCAGACCACGCCTCACACAGAGCTGTCATTCAGTGAAATTATCATTTCTATCATCTTTATATGTGACTACTGCCCCCAATTCTATTCCTTAGCTACAGGGCACTGAAGAGCCAGTCGTAGAGCAAGACACTAGTGCCCAAGGGTGGCAGACATCTGAGTGCAATCAGCAAGGTCTCGGTTGAGGACTCTGGGGAATGCAAATGGGTTCAAGGACAGAGGGTCTAAGCAGGCACTGTTCTTAAGGCGAGAGAGGCAGACGGTGGCTGAGACGTCTATTTACAGAGGACTCTGTCCATGGTTCTCAGCTAGAGCTGTAGCCAAGGCATGGAGGAGAGCAGGACTCTAGGCCATGTGGGATCTAACCATGTTACCAGAACGGAGACTTGGACTCTAGACCCAAGGGGGAACACCAGTTACACCATGTGGGAGACAGGGAACCCAGTGCCAAGACTTGGGTGCGGAAGCCATTGTTTGTCAGGTAGGAGGAAAAGCCCAGAGCACTGAAGCTCAAGCTGCCAAGAAAATAACCCACAACTGAGGTCCGTCAGCAAGAGGGATTGAGCGATGACTGTCATTTTTACCTCCTGTAAGGGTCTTGGAGGCTACAGGAGAGACAGGAGAGACCAAGGGGGAAAAAAAAACCAAACACCAAACAACCTTATCAGCTTGGCCAAGTCTAGTAACTCATCAGCTACTACAAAATATTTCCTTCCTTCATTGACCTTAGTAGATATTATCTGAAGACAATGTCTCTCCCTCACCCATTAACTCCCTGCAGTTCCTTAGGAAGGGGTGGTCTTCAGGATCCTCTGCCCCCACTATCCGTAAACGCACACTGCTAGGTCCACTCTTCTGCAGGTGTAACTGCAGCTTTCGTGAGTTCAACCGACCCCATTCATGAAGCAACCCGAATTAAATCCAGTGGGACACAGACACAGAAGGAAATAGAAGAGAATCTAGTCTGCAAGAAGGAAAGAATCAGCAGGATGCAAGAGAGAGACAAGAAGATAATGGGGCATCCCCATCATCAAAACAAATCCACATATGAAACTGTCAAAAATAATGAGTCAAGAAAAATAGAGAAATTACCTAAGACATTTTAAACAGACTCACCAAAGGCTGATCCAGTTGGCAAGAAGAAATGATAGCTGGCCTTCAACTAAAAGAATAGTGACTCTTAGGCTGGAGAGATGGCTCAGCAGTTAAGAGCTCTGTGTGCTCTTCCAGAGGTCCTGAGTTCAATTCCCAGCAACCACATGGTGGCTCATGTAACCATCCTTAATGAGATCCAATACCCTCTTCTGGTGTGTCTGAAGACAGCCACAATGTACATAAAATAAATAAATATAAAAAAAAGAATAGTGACTCAGACACAGTTTAATGATAAATGGCACCACAGATTAAAAGTGGACATAAAGGGTGATGTTATGTTTAGCATAAGCCTACGTCCTGAGATAAATGTATCATTAAGTAAATGGTTTGAAATTATAGATACTATAGAGAATTCTTGAGCATACCTCAATGATATAGCCTATAATATCCTGGGCTATATATATATAGTGTACCCTATTTATTGCAATGATGATTATTGTCTTATTTTTAAAGATTTCTAAAAATTAGTGTGTGTGTGTGTGTGTGTGTGTGTGTGCAGAAAACCTCAATAAAATGCCAGAAAAGAACATCAGATTCCCTCGAGTTAGAATTCTAGGTTGTTGTGAGCTGTCAATGAGAATACTGGTAATTAAATCCTGGTCTCTGTAAGAGCAAGAAATGCTCTAATCATTGACCAATCACCAGCACACTAACGTTCTTTTTAAACTTTAGGGTTTTTTTGTGTTTTTTTAATTAATTAATTTATTTATTTATTCACTGTACATCCCAGGGTAGGCCCCTTCTCCTTCCAGTCCCTCCTCCCAGTCCCTCCTCCTCTTCTCCTCTGAGAGGGTGGAGGTCCCCCTGGGTATTCCTCAACCTGGCACATCAAGTCACACAGGACTAGGCACATCCTCTTCCTCCGAGGCCAGACAAGGCAACCCATTTAGGGGAATGGGATAGACAGGTAGGCAACAAATTCAGGGACAGCTACCCTTCCAGTTGTTGAGGGACCCAGAAGAAGACCAGGCTGCACATCTGCTACATATGTGCTGGGTCCTAGGTCTAACCAATGCTTGGTCTTCGGTTGGTGATTCAGTCTCTGGGAGCCCTTCAAAGGTCCAGGTTAGTTGACTCTGTTGATCTTCCCGTGGAGTTCCTGTCCTCTTCAGTTCCCTCAATCCTTCCCCCAGTTCTTCCACAAGACTCCCTGAGCTCCATCTAATGTTTGGCTGTGAGTCTCTGCATCCATTTCCATCAGCTGCTGGGTGGAGCCTCTCAGAGGACAGTTATGCTAGGATCCCGTATGACAGCATAACAGAGTATCATTGATAGAGGCAGGGATTGGTTGGCCATTCCCTCCATCTTTGTCCCTGCACATCTTGTAGACAGGGCATTTGGGCCAAAGGTTTTGTGGGTGGGTTGCTGTCCTTATCCCTCCACTGAGAGTCCCCCTGGCTAGAGAACATAGCCACTTTAGGCTCCGTACCCTCCACTGCTAGGAGTCTCAAGTAGAGTCACCCCCACAGACTTCCTGGGACTTTCCCCTAGCAGCTACCGTGTCCCAGGTTTCTGGTATGTCGTAGAGTGTCCACCATAGCTGATTTCTGTTCTCTCTCCCATGCTCTCCCTACACCTGATCTCCCTGCCCCATTCCCCTACCTATCCCGTCTCACAACCTGATCCCACCGCTCCATCCACCTCTGATGTCTACCTTGTTTCTCCTTCTGAGAAAGATTCAAGCATCCTCCCTTGAGTCCTCCTTGTTATTTGGCTTCATTGGGTCGGTGGATTGTAGTGTGAGTATTCTATACTTTATGGCTAATATCCATTTATAAGGTATCCACTTTAAAAGATAAAAACTAAGACACAGGAGCCTTCGGGCTAAGGACTATAATGGCTCCCAGCTCTTGTCAACCCCAGGATGCTGTGCTATCACTTAACTTTATGTCCTTATCCTCAACAACACTTTCAAACAGTGTCTTTTTAAA